TTTCAGGAAAAGGGTGAATCTGCCCAATTTAGACTCCCATTTTAAACTCCAATTTAAGCTCTCATTTTCTTCATTTACAAAATTGAGATTAAAAACATGTATTTTGGGAAATGTGGATCCTTTTTGTAACGGGACAAGTTAATCTGGCCCCGAATACAGAAGTGACCGGCATGCATTGCTGCCTACGCCTCTCTGCCTCTGGACTGACCGGAAGCCGGAAGCCGGAAGCGGTCTCAGCTGGAGACGCCTGGGCAGGACCTAGGGGTGAATGGGCGGAGACTTGGCTGCTGCCTTGGGTGTCACCGTGATTAGGGCTGAAGCGGCTTCTTGGGTCCTGGCGGCAGCCCTGGAGGGGTAGGGAGTGCACAGCACAGCACTGAGGCTCAGCGGGGCACAGAGGAGCCAGGAAAAGGAGCTCTCGGTGCTCCCATCACCGATCATTCCACCCCCTGCACTTTCGCTGCTGCTGCTTACGGGAGCGCCTTCCTAAGATGGTTCCTTTGATTCTGCTCCAGATCCTAAATATGGAGAGCTGGTCGCATCATTTTGAGGAAATACCCAGGTGGCTGTAAGAGCGCGGACCTCTACTCCCATCACGCCGGGGCCTAAGCACCGTTCCACAGAGAAGACCGCAAGCAAACCATAGCACACTGTTCATTTTGACAGTTAAAAACAGAAAAATCCAATAATCCAAATGATCTAAGTGCACCAACTATGTAGAGATTGTTGAATTGGATTTTTAAAAACCCAATACCGAGGCACAAGTTTCTGTATCATACTTCAAACATAGCATCGTTTTAAAGAAAAATGATGGAAAAATAGACCACTCAGACACTAGTTAAAAGAATGCTTTACCAATAAGGCTGGACAGTAAAACAGCAAAATGAAGCATGAGGAGCAACATCAGAAGGCTAAATTCACCAAGAGGATACCATAACCCGAGAATGTGTTCCCATCGGCAGAACTTCAAAATGTGAACCAAAACAGATAAACATGAAAAAACACCTAAAATTTCACAATTATGTTTGGAAATCCCGACACTTTTTTCTTAGTAATTTTTGGAACAGGAGACAAAATGAGTAAGAACACTGAAGAGGGTAGGAGTGCTGGCCACCACCTGGTGTGGCTGCAGATTGCGGGACACTTGGCCCCAAGAAAAGCAGTGCGATCACAGATCACCAGGAAACGAAGGCATGAAAACAGCCACAAACAGAGTCAGAGGTATTGATGGGTAGTAAACACCAGAAAGCTTTATGCCCATAAATCTGACAAATTAAAATCCTTAAAAGGTATGGACAAGCCTCACTCAAGAGGAGATAGGCAACTCGAAACATTTTACATCTATGAAAGTGGTTGGATTTGCTGCTCAAAACCTTCAATAAAAGACATCTAAGCCCAAATATTGTTGCAGTTAAATTCTAGAAGGATTTAAGAAAGATCTAAGATCGGCCCGGGGATTTATTTCAGTGGTTCGGTGGTGCCTTGCAAGCGCAAGGACCAGAATTCAATCCCCGGTACCAAAAAAAAAAAAAAAAAAAAAAAAAAAAAAAAAAAAAAAAAGAAAGATCTAAGATCACTTTTACACAGTCCTGTGCAGAATGTGAAAATTCCCAGTACTTTTTAGGAGCCTGTGAATGTCCTGATCCCCCCAAAAGGTGCAGATATAACAAGGAAAAAAAAAAGAACAAAATATTACCCAATAGAATTTAAAAGTATATGTAAGGACAAAATATATTGGAATCAAGTAGACTTATCCCTATAATGCAAAGACTCCTTTAAAAAAATCAACCAAAGTTGGCCACCCTGTGAATAAAACAAAGAATAATTACACAATCATCTCCATAGTTGCAGAGGAAGTACTAGACAAAGTTTAAATGTCATTCAGGACAAAAACTCAGCAAAGCAGGAGTGAAAGGAACTTCTTCAAACTGATAAAGGGTCTGGAGAAAATCTACAGATAACATCAATCTTATACTATGCTCAAGAGAACATAGTAAGGATGCATGTCAGGAATAGATACATACGTGTTGGTCCAGCCATTTATGATGAAGGAGCAAAGGTAACCCAGAGGAAAAAGTGTGGTCTTTTCAGTGAATAATGCAATGCTGGGATGATCAGACACGTCTACGCAAAGGAACCGATTAATCACATGATTATAAACTAACAGTAACTTCAAAACTTCACACCCTATAGTAACACAGACAAACAGCCTCAAAATGGATCATAGGGGCCATTTATAAAGCTTCAGAGAATAAAACCTTTATAAGGAAACACAGAAGAAAACCTTTGTGGGTGTGAGGCAAAGGATTCATGATAGCAAAGCTGTGATCAGGAAAAGAAAAAGAAACTGGACCCTATCAAAAGTAAATGCTTGTACTCTCTAGGTGAACGATACTGTTTACCGCACACAGAGTGACCTGAAGTATCTGCAAGTTTCATATCTGACGAAAGGTTTGTATAGGGAATACACAAAGGTGTGTCTAAGCTCAGTAACAATGAATCCATCCATTAGAAATGTGGGCAAACAATATGCAGGCCACTCACCAATAACTTTAACAGGTGGGAAATCACGCGTGGAGATAGCCTTGCCACCATGAATTTCCAGGTGCACACTGTTGAAACCTCAGTGCTGCCGCAGACATACTGCAGTGGCTAAAATGACAACTGACACGCGCAGTGTCTGTGAAGACGTGGGCGGTGGGGCTCTCCTACACTGCTGCTGGACGTGTGACAAGACAGCCACCGGTCTGGCACCTTCTTATGAGGTCGGCTGTATCCTCATCGAGTGATCTAGAAATCCTACTACGTGTTCGTCCTAACTTGAATAGGCACAGAATCCTGTATGTGAAAGTTACACAGATTTGTTCAGATCTCAAAACTGGATTCAACTCAATGCCTGTTACCTAGAGAAGCAGTAGGTCTTTTGTGCCCAGGACCAGTAGTTAACGTGGACACGCGTCACACAAGGATGGCTCGGGCACACTGTGCCATGTGAAGACTGACGGCTCAGAGGTATGTATGCCACGTGATTCTTCTTGCGACCCACGGACTCATAAGGCTGCAGTTGGTCTGTGCTGGCGGCTGCCATGGGAACAGCCTGGCTGTGGAGCCATGACGGGGCTTTGGTGATGGCGGGCTGCCCTCTCCTGAGCTGCTGCAGCCGACATCTGACTAGGCACTGTCCAAATGCAGACACGCATGCCAGGAGCTTGTGTATGCAAATTAAATAGACACAAAGTGAAAACAGACACCTAATTACTTCTTCAGGCCTTTGTAAAAACTTTTTAACAAATATACTTACGGACTGCAAGTCATTCATTATAAGATGACTCAATACGGCATGAAATGGTATAAAATAACATTAAGATAGGTAAACACACCTTAAACTGTATCATTCAGAATGATCATAAAATATACCCTTACCTCATAGTTGTGATAAAATGAAAAACGGGCACCTTTGAGTATTATAAGGTGATATTCACAACTAGGGACTTATTTCCCACTGGCCTATGGCCTTGCTCTGAGCCTGCGGGACAGAAACTGGAGTCAGAGACCAGTGCAGGGCAGCGAGCCCAGAGGACACGTTTAGTCCAGGCGGCAGGCTTCCCTGTTGCCCGCTCTTCTGAGTGGCACGGGGGAGGCTGCACACCTGCCATGCTATCCCAGGTCTCGAGGACAGGGTTACTTTTCACTATTGAAGGCCACAATGAACCTTCTATGTTGGTCCCCACAGTGGCAAGGTAGTAGAGTCATATTTTTAAGTCAGAGAAAAGAGAAAAATCTTCCCTCAAACATTAAAAAAAGACCGAATGAAAAACATTAAGGTAGAACCGTCATTTATAAATGTCTCATTAAAAGTAAATTCAATATATAAATTCTGCTAGAAATAGATGAATTAGAGCAGTTAGAGATGGCTGATTTCTTACCCTAGATAATTCGGCAGAATTCTCTTGAATAGAAAATGCTCCACTCAAGCTTTAAGTACCTGTTACACGGGTAGCGTTAAGCGCTCGAAATGTGAGGTCTGTGTGTAGGTGAGCAGCAGAGATCTGCCTGGGCCTTTTCCCTGGAGCAGGACGTGAACTGCCACACAGGCTGACGAAGCGTGGAAGTTGTGGGAGGCCACGCGGACCTTGTGCAGCTGTGACTCTGGCGTGGACCCAGGAGCGCTTGTCTGGACACAGCAGACTTACTTCTGGGAGAAGGAACGTGCGCTGCTCATTTCCGAATTGGCACCCATTCCTGGTGAGTGCGCATGTTCACGCTGCCTCCACTGGTGTCTGGGGTGTGTTGTGCACATTTTGAAAGGACAGTTGGTCCCATTAAATAAGTACTGTGGAAAGTACCTCCTAATTCCTAGTGGTCACTGCAGCCCTAAACTGCCAGTTACCCCAGTGTTTCATGCTTTGATGTTCATGTGCTCCTACAGAACCCGAGCAGTTCTGTAAAGTCACCGTAAATCATGAAGGTACATCTAGGAAATGTTATTCAAATAATCGATGAAAGCTTTTATAGTTGAAGTCCTTGTTTAATGATGTTGTGTGTTCATGTCAAACACTGACTTTTCTTCTTAGGGTTCACAGCGTTCAACAACACGTTTGCAAATACATTAGTTCTCCTTTCTTTTCAGTGTTCTCATTTTGTAATATACAGTTGTTTCCATGAATATAATGCCTAGAATACATTTTAGCATCTCAAATTCTCATGAGATTTAAAGCCAAATAATGTGAACTGTCAGAGCAAACAGATCCTGAGTGTTCTGATCATGTAGTGACAAGAGGGTGGGGCGTGAATGAAGAAGGCAGACCATAAAAACAGCATTTCGTATGCTCAATCACACCGTGCATTTATTAATGCAGAGGCCAGAGGGTCGCATCGTATATGCACTTGGAAAAGTCAGTAACAAAGCAACTGCCGAGGGTACACGAATTAGCCAACCCCACTGGTCGGTGTATTTGATACTTTCAGAATGGTTTTGAGGGAGAGGATGTGTCCTCTTGTCATTTACAAAACACACTCAGGGGGATGGGGTTTGTTTCCACTAACAGTTATGACTAAGTTAGCGATTCCAGAGTGCTGGTCTACAGCCAATGTTTACGAACAGGTCTAAAAGCCAAATCATAAAAATCCAGAAAATGTAAAATGTCAACTATTTCATAATCGAAAACCAGACTAGGTATATTTTTGTGCACCAAGCTACGTGGTTTTCCTATTGTATCTGATGCATTCTGGGCTTATAAATAACATAAATTATAAAATTGTAAGCAATTTCTCTGGAGTTTACATTTTTCACAAGATAGACGAAAACATTACTTTTGGCTTCAGTGCAGTATAGACTAATGTTGCATTCAGTATAAATTGTTGAATATTTTTAAAAGTAACACTTAACTGATCATAGAGTTAAGCAAATAAGGAGAAAGTCATAACTGTCAGAGGGAGAAAATAACAATATAGTTGCTTATCATAGGTAACCTAAAGAACCAGATCTTCCTTTCTGCTCTGACTTGCCAAAGAAGGACATTTGTGAGTGGAGATGTCCTGCTGTACAGAAGCTTCAACTCGCCTGATTAAAAATGTGATGTGACTTTGGCAGTTTTACAGGACGTAGTTTTGTCAGTATATCAAATGTTAACACACTATTTGGGATTTCTTCGTGTAGCTTTGCTTTGATAGAATTTCTTCACAGTGATATTTCACAAAGGTTGGAAACTGGTCAACATAAAATATTTCCCACCTTCTCTGTTTTAATTTGTATGCAAAAATCATCACAATTTATCTGCGTCTATAAAATTACAAATGCTCTCTAGAAGTCACCGCATCTCTATTATGGTAGAAAAGGGTACAGGTGAGAGCTCTACAATGAAGTACAGCTAAAGAATCAGAATATGAGTAGCAAACGCTTCGTGGTCGGGCGAGATAAACTAAATTCACAGAGAGCCAAGGAGGACTCCATGGCTGCCATGGTTTGCTTTGTGGGGAGCAGTGACGGGTGAAGGGAGCACTGTGGAGACATTATTGATGTTTCACTTTACACCATAGTCTTGGCACTTCGCGGCGCATTATTTCCCAAGGACCAGCGACGGCGGCGTAAGAGCTCGGCCGTCCCACGTACCTGTGGGCCTGCTGCCGGCAACACTGACAGGCGGGCGAGGTGGCCGTTCGGTGCGCGGGAGCAGCCTCCGCCTCAGGCACTGTCCTCAGCGACTCTCATTTCCGATTTGAGCCTGACGAATTCCTTAGCCACCTCGTCGCCGGCCCTCTGAGAGAGGACCCTGAGGATGGTCAGGCCCGTCTCGTCCACGGAGACGTTTCTGAGGAGCGGGTACCACGCCCCGTGGCTGCCCTTCTCCGCGATGCTCTGGAGTTGGATCACGGTCATCCCGATGACGCGGTCCTCCCGGGCGAAGCAGTAGTCCTTCACCGCCAGGTGCAGCTCGTAGGCGGCCGGCCGGTTCTCCTTGCTCAGGGTGCTGTGTGGATCAAAAGCACACGTGAGGAAGGGGCCACTGCACCTCTGCAGCGACGCCAGAGCGCACGCATCCGCCCGAGGTCGCGGTGGCGAGCGGAGTGTCGCTGCGTGTAACCGTGGCCCTTACACTTTACCTAGGCTCCACATGGGCAGGTAGGTACTCATCTAACACAAAAGCTGTCTCCTAAACGGAAACAGCACGCGCTAGTCCCTCATGGGGAAGCCCTGGTGGCACGGAGAGTGGATGCGTGCCGGGTTTACGGGCAGGCAGGGGCCCTGCCCCACGCCGCGCCTGCGTGTCTCGGAGAGGATGTCGTGCGCTTC